TTTATCACTCTCCTTAGGATAAGGAAGAACTTTTTCAATTTTCTCAAAATTTTTATCTCCCCTCTTCTTTTCTTTCTCTTTTCTCTCAATCTCACCTTTTCTCTCTTCTTTTTCTTCTCTCTTATCTAACTCAACTCTCTTTTTTTTCTCGTCCACCCTCTCATCATGTATACTCACAATAGCTTTACACTCTTCCTTAGGGTTAACCTCAGTATTAGCCCCAAAACTCTTGTCAGGCATATTCTCCAACTTCTTAGCCAATTGGCCAACCTGTATCTCTAAATTTCTAATTGCAGCTTCAGTGCTTTTATGGTTGGAGATAGTCACCTGCATAAATTGTTGAAGAATGTCTTCTAGCTTTGTTGATCTCTCATTTAATGCAGATACTTGTTGCCATAGTGATGGTTGGTGTTGTGGTCTATTAACTTGTCATGCTTGTCCAACTTGTCCATTTTGACCTTGACCCATGCTTGGGTGAGGTTTCCACCCTTGGTTGAAGTTCCCTTGGCGGTATTGGAATTGATTTTGAAATTGATTGCCTATAAAATTGACATCTTCTAGGGCCTCCACTGGAAAATAACATTGACCATTGATATGGTCACCACCACACAATTCACAGAGTTGTTGATGAACCTGTGAAACGTTCTTCAGCTCCTTTGGAAACTGAGCGAGTGTCTTTGTCAAATTCTCCAACTGTTGAGTTATGATTTTATTTTTTGCAAGCAAGGCATCTTGAGATTGCAATTGTAAGACTCCCTTCTGTTGAGGTGGAGCTCCTCTTTCGCTATGCATCTCGTTGTATTAGTAGCTATGGTATCAATCAATTCAAAAGCTTCCTCTGGAGTTTTACACTTGATATTACCTCCAGCTGAGGCATCTACTATCAGCTTGGTTTGTGAACCAAGACCTCTAAGGAAAAGAATGACTAATGTTGCTTCATCAAAGCCATGTGTGGGCGTTTTTCTCAACAAGCTCTTGTATCTGTCCCATGCTTGACCGAGTGTTTCCTCCATACCTTGCCTGAAAGAAGAAATTTCTTGCTTCCCTTTGTTGATTTTTGATTGTGGGAAGTACTTGTTTAGAAACTTTGAAACCACAGCTTCCCACTCAGTAAAGCTATCCTCCGGGAAAGAATTCAACCATAACTTAGCATTGCCTCCCGATGAGAAAGGAAACAAACTAAGCTTTATAGCGTCATCCAACACATCATTGATTTTTACTGTGTTGCAAATCTCGTTGAATGTGGTTAGATGCTCATATGGACTTTCATGTGACAGTCCATTAAATTGGTTGCTCTTCACCAATTGTATCAATGCCGGTTTCACCTCCATATTTACAGCATTGACCATCGGCCTAGCAATGTTGTTAAAGTGATGAGGGCCAACAATTGTGGAGTAATCCGTTAGAGTATGTCTACCATTATTTTCTCCAGCCATCTCTTTAGTACTCTAGTAAGATCTTTGTGGTGAGGGTTGTAAAGGTATCTCCGGAGAAGGACATAATTCTCTAGATGTTCGAATTCTCCTCCTCCTTCTACTCTCGTCCAATCCTTCAAGAAGAGGTTCCGAAATTTTCTTGCGCCTAGTACGAATTGTATCCTGCATACACAAGAAAACAAAACCCTAGAAACAATTGTTAGCACAAAAAGATAAAAAAGATAAAAATCAAGTCAAAACTAATCAATAATCAAACAAATAGAATAGTTAAACCACGAGTCCCCGGCAACGGCGCCAAAAACTTGTTAACACTTCGGCAAGTGTACCGAATCGTATCAAGTAATAATAAATGGTAGGACCAAGTATCGTTTCCCAAGAGACTCATGACCTAAATAATTATGTGATTTCTTGATTAAATAAGACTTGTAAACGAAATCATTGTGTTTATATTGCGGAAAATAAACATGAATGCAAGTGTTGATCAATTAGATTGAAAGAGGCAAAAGTGATTGATGTAAAATATGGAATGATTATGTTGTTGGGGTTTCCGACTTATCCTATCCACTCTCATGTATTTATGAATTCATCTTCTTCATTAATGTTAATGCCACTTTCTAATTTACCTTAAACCCGATGTCTTGGTGAAGAAAGCCTAATCCTAATTACTAGTTCACAATGTCTTGTCTCCCTAGCTATTAATCATGCATTACATTCACACAGAAGCTCAAAGGCAACTGATCCTCCTATTCCTATGTCTAGGTAATATTGCTTCCAGGGGAATTTCCTCAGTTCTAGATTTACCTATATGTGTCCATATTGATAACATCAATGATCATGCAATTGAATGAGTTAAACAAAGCATGCATAGAGCGTAGAGGAAAAACCCTAACAATTAATGAAGTAAAAGCATATATAACAAGAATCAATTCAATACATGAGAGTTTCAAAGGATTACATTGTTTCCCCAACAACAATGGAGATTTAGTTCACCATAGACATGGTGAAACTAGATGAAAAGAATGAAAAGAATGAAAGATAGAACCATAAAAGTTGAAGATCGGAGCTTCTGCATCCAAAATCCGTCTCCGAGGGGTGAAAGGAGTGTAATTTCGCATCTTTCTGTCCAAAGATATGAACCCTGGGTCAACTAAACTCTTATATAGTTTATTAAAAATACAGAAATTTGGCCCAGGCCTAAGTAGACAGCGCTCAGCGGTAGGAATTGCGCTTAGCGGTAAGTGCGGCACTCAGAATGACACTCTACGATGGCGCCCAAGCGTGAAACAGTGAACTTAACAGCAGACTCTGGCGCTCAGCGGTAGAATTGCCGCTCAGCGGTGACTGCGATACTTGGATTAGCCCTCAACAATGGCGCTTAAGCTTTAGATAGAGAACTCAACAACAAGCTGGGCGCTCAGCGGTGAAATGGCATTGAGCGGTGGTTGCGATTCTTTTTTATATGCAATTTTCCTTCCTTTCTTGAGTCCAACTCCTTACTACTTCACTTCTTCATCCAATTCATCTTAATTCCTGTCAAAACAAGGAAAAATAAGCATAAAACCCATCCAACTCTCTTATTTCCACAACTTAAGCAAAAACATGATTTCAAGCTAGTTTATAAGTCATAAAGGGTGTTTTTAATGTCAAAATTAAGTATAAAAATAACAGTTTTTCAACCGTTATCAGAGACTAAACACTACCATGAACGAGCGCTAGTACGAGACCGAGCACTACCAAGAACGAGTGCTAGTACAAGACCAAGCACTACCAAGAACGATCGCTAGTAAGAGACCGAGCACTACCAAGAACGAGCGCTAGTACGAGACCGAGCACTACCCAGAACGAGTGCTAGTACGAGAAATCATCCACACACCTAAGTTCGAACGGTCATGAACGGGTAAGACTAAAGAGACCAAACCCAGTTAATGACTGAGCACGGAATACAACCGAATGATTAACTTCTACAAAATTCTGAATAACACTCCCGAGACCAAAACTAAATATTTTTCTTAACTTCTAAACCTCAAAACTTGATTCATAAGTTATTTTAAACCTATCCTACTGAACCTATTTCACACTGACCCCCAACTCACAATTTCATATACTCTCTTTTCCAAAACCATACAAGACCGAACGCTCTACTGTAGAAAACTCCAACCCAATTCACAGGTCTCGACAAAACACAGAATTTAAATACAATTCAATCAATCATACAATTATTCATACATGCAAACGTTCAAACAGAAATTCCAAACACAGAAAAACATAATTAAATTACTAGTTTTCCTTACCTTTTTAACCGAATAGCAACTCAGCCAACAACAGAATTCGTTCCCCAAAACCAAAATCTTTCTAGAATACCTATAACCCACCGATCAAGAAAGAATAATCAACCAACAGACCAAAACATGATCAAAATTTGTGAAGATGAAACAGATGAACACATGCAACCAGAAATTTGACTTGCTGGTGTCCGAAAACAGTTTTCTTAGGAAGAGAATGAAGTTACCGGCTCCAAACTTAATTTGATAGGTAAAGATGGAAGATTTTGACACTTTGATTACTCAACACTATCTGATTGATGATCATAAGGAGGAGAAAGTGAGAATTTGTAGAGAGAAGGAGAAGAATTGTAGAGAGAAGGAGGAGAAAAGATCTTCAGGAAATTTGGAGAGAAGAGGTGCATGCAGAAAGTGGCTCGAAGTTTTGAAAATTTTACTTATATACTACCGTTAAAAAACCACTCGGTCCAACCAACTGCATACACCTAGATTCCACTTTTCTCTCAATTTAATGGTCCTCACACTATTCATCTTTATCTACTAAGAAGAATGAAAGTAATTCATGGTTAAAATATTTGGAGGATTTGATTACGCCATATTCCCTACTAAATTATTTCTTCCTAGATTGACTTCAAGAAAACATCACTTAATCCTATAAATTGGATTTGTCCTGTAAATTGGATTTGTCCTTTAAATTGGATTTGTCCTTATCATATGACTCTTCGTTGATCAAGTCCACAAACTTGCTCAATATGTCAAGGAAACTTAGTAGCAATTCAGGATGAAAATTCAAAACAAAAGAAGTGAAAGAAGATTGCTGCAGCTAAGGAAGATATAATGGAAAACAAGGTGTTATGAGCTCTTTGTATATGGAATACGCTTGCTGTTACAGTGTGTTCCTAATAATTCTGTGTGCATGATATGTACATATGTTGTTTTTTCTTATCTTTAAATTTTGGTTAAAATATACGTTTAAAAGTACATTATTAATCGAATTAAAATTACCCGAAGTATATAATATCTTAATCTCGAAGACTAGCACTGTCTTAACAGAACAGAGTTGAAAACTGAGTTGAACTCGTCTATATTTACAATTTCTGGTCAGTATTAACAGCTAACAGTGAGTGCTTCCCTATGCAGCTACCTGTTTACCACTAAGCAATCAACAATTCAATGAACAGAAGACGAACTTAGAAAGATGGTCCTAAAAACCATTACCTCTCTGTTCCAAAACTTCTAATGAAGCTTCTTCTCAAAGCTCAGGGTACATTGAATATCAATTTTACACCTCTACCCAACTACAACCAGGAATTTTCTCCAACCCTTTCTGTTTCATGGCTAACCTAATGTTATTGGCATCCTTCCAGGAAGCAAATGTAGAAAAAACATTTGCAGTGAGCACATAGTTAGCTCCCAATTCGGACTCCAGTTTAGACAGAAGATCAGTATCCAAACTAGGAATCCACCCGTGATTCCTGCAAGCCGCCAGAAAACTTCTCAATATAACACCATTCGGCTCCATAGGCATGCCCTTGATAATATCATATGCCTCTTCAATCAAGCCAGATCTTCCTAGCAAGTCAACCATGCATCCATAGTGTTCAACACTCGGTTTTATGCCATACATTCTCACCATCCGATCAAAATACCTTCTTCCCTCACAAACGAGTCCAGCGTGGCTGCAGGCCGAGAGAATCACAGCAAAAGCCAAACTATCTGGTTGCAGTCCCATATCCTCCATATGGTTAAACAAAGAGATAACATCTTTATGTCTCCCATGATCAGCAAGAACGGACATCATGACAGTGAAGGACTGCAAATTCTTGCCATCCATTGAATTGAAAACGACAACGGCCTCATTAATTTTTCCACATTTAGCATACATGTCAAACAAAGCTGTTCCCAATGCAACATCCATGTCCATGTGACTCATTATAAGGTAGGAATGAATGGACTGACCAGCACGGACATCAAGCATTTNCAGCTTGGTTTGTGAACCAAGACCTCTAAGGAAAAGAATGACTAATGTTGCTTCATCAAAGCCATGTGTGGGCGTTTTTCTCAACAAGCTCTTGTATCTGTCCCATGCTTGACCGAGTGTTTCCTCCATACCTTGCCTGAAAGAAGAAATTTCTTGCTTCCCTTTGTTGATTTTTGATTGTGGGAAGTACTTGTTTAGAAACTTTGAAACCACAGCTTCCCACTCAGTAAAGCTATCCTCCGGGAAAGAATTCAACCATAACTTAGCATTGCCTCCCGATGAGAAAGGAAACAAACTAAGCTTTATAGCGTCATCCAACACATCATTGATTTTTACTGTGTTGCAAATCTCGTTGAATGTGGTTAGATGCTCATATGGACTTTCATGTGACAGTCCATTAAATTGGTTGCTCTTCACCAATTGTATCAAAGCCAGTTTCACCTCCATATTTAAAGCATTGACCATCAAACTAGCAATGTTGTTAAAGTGATGAGGGCCAACAATTGTGGAGTAATCCGTTAGAGTATGTCTACCATTATTTTCTCCAGCCATCTCTTTAGTACTCTAGTAAGATCTTTGTGGTGAGGGTTGTAAAGGTATCTCCGGAGAAGGACATAATTCTCTAGATGTTCGAATTCTCCTCCTCCTTCTACTCTCGTCCAATCCTTCAAGAAGAGGTTCCGAAATTTTCTTGCGCCTAGTACGAATTGTATCCTGCATACACAAGAAAACAAAACCCTAGAAACAATTGTTAGCACAAAAAGATAAAAAAGATAAAAATCAAGTCAAAACTAATCAATAATCAAACAAATAGAATAGTTAAACCACGAGTCCCCGGCAACGGCGCCAAAAACTTGTTAACACTTCGGCAAGTGTACCGAATCGTATCAAGTAATAATAAATGGTAGGACCAAGTATCGTTTCCCAAGAGACTCATGACCTAAATAATTATGTGATTTCTTGATTAAATAAGACTTGTAAACGAAATCATTGTGTTTATATTGCGGAAAATAAACATGAATGCAAGTGTTGATCAATTAGATTGAAAGAGGCAAAAAAAATAAAAAAAAAAAAAGAAAAAATAAAATAATAGGGATTACAAAATAAACAAAACAAAAAAAAAAAATTAAAAAATAAATCTTCTTCATTAATGTTAATGCCACTTTCTAATTTACCTTAAACCCGATGTCTTGGTGAAGAAAGCCTAATCCTAATTACTAGTTCACAATGTCTTGTCTCCCTAGCAATTAATCATGCATTACATTCACACAGAAGCTAAAAGGCAACTGATCCTCCTATTCCTATGTCTAGGTAATATTGCTTCCAGGGGAATTTCCTCAGTTCTAGATTTACCTATATGTGTCCATATTGATAACATCAATGATCATGCAATTGAATGAGTTAAACAAAGCATGCATAGAGCGTAGAGGAAAAACCCTAACAATTAATGAAGTAAAAGCATATATAACAAGAATCAATTCAATACATGAGAGTTTCAAAGGATTACATTGTTTCCCCAACAACAATGGAGATTTAGTCCACCATAGACATGGTGAAACTAGATGAAAAGAATGAAAAGAATGAAAGATAGAACCATAAAAGTTGAAGATCGGAGCTTCTGCATCCAAAATCCGTCTCCGAGGGGTGAAAGGAGTGTAATTTCGCATCTTTCTGTCCAAAGATATGAACCCTGGGTCAACTAAACTCTTATATAGTTTATTAAAAATACAGAAATTTGGCCCAGGCCTAAGTAGACAGCGCTCAGCGGTAGGAATTGCGCTTAGCGGTAAGTGCGGCACTCAGAATGACGCTCTACGATGGCGCCCAAGCGTGAAACAGTGAACTTAACAGCAGACTCTGGCGCTCAGCGGTAGAATTGCCGCTCAGCGGTGACTGCGATACTTGGATTAGCCCTCAACAATGGCGCTTAAGCTTTAGATAGAGAACTCAACAACAAGCTGGGCGCTCAGCGGTGAAATGGCATTGAGCGGTGGTTGCGATTCTTTTTTATATGCAATTTTCCTTCCTTTCTTGAGTCCAACTCCTTACTACTTCACTTCTTCATCCAATTCATCTTAATTCCTGTCAAAACAAGGAAAAATAAGCATAAAACCCATCCAACTCTCTTATTTCCACAACTTAAGCAAAAACATGATTTCAAGCTAGTTTATAAGTCATAAAGGGTGTTTTTAATGTCAAAATTAAGTATAAAAATAACAGTTTTTCAACCGTTATCAGAGACTAAACACTACCATGAACGAGCGCTAGTACGAGACCGAGCACTACCAAGAACGAGTGCTAGTACAAGACCAAGCACTACCAAGAACGATCGCTAGTAAGAGACCGAGCACTACCAAGAACGAGCGCTAGTACGAGACCGAGCACTACCCAGAACGAGTGCTAGTACGAGAAATCATCCACACACCTAAGTTCGAACGGTCATGAACGGGTAAGACTAAAGAGACCAAACCCAGTTAATGACTGAGCACGGAATACAACCGAATGATTAACTTCTACAAAATTCTGAATAACACTCCCGAGACCAAAACTAAATATTTTTCTTAACTTCTAAACCTCAAAACTTGATTCATAAGTTATTTTAAACCTATCCTACTGAACCTATTTCACACTGACCCCCAACTCACAATTTCATATACTCTCTTTTCCAAAACCATACAAGACCGAACGCTCTACTGTAGAAAACTCCAACCCAATTCACAGGTCTCGACAAAACACAGAATTTAAATACAATTCAATCAATCATACAATTATTCATACATGCAAACGTTCAAACAGAAATTCCAAACACAGAAAAACATAATTAAATTACTAGCTTCCCTTACCTTTTTAACCGAATAGCAACTCAGCCAACAACAGAATTCGTTCCCCAAAACCAAAATCTTTCTAGAATACCTATAACCCACCGATCAAGAAAGAATAATCAACCAACAGACCAAAACATGATCAAAATTTGTGAAGATGAAACAGATGAACACATGCAACCAGAAATTTGACTTGCTGGTGTCCGAAAACAGTTTTCTTAGGAAGAGAATGAAGTTACCGGCTCCAAACTTAATTTGATAGGTAAAGATGGAAGATTTTGACACTTTGATTACTCAACACTATCTGATTGATGATCATAAGGAGGAGAAAGTGAGAATTTGTAGAGAGAAGGAGAAGAATTGTAGAGAGAAGGAGGAGAAAAGATCTTCAGGAAATTTGGAGAGAAGAGGTGCATGCAGAAAGTGGCTCGAAGTTTTGAAAATTTTACTTATATACTACCGTTAAAAAACCACTCGGTCCAACCAACTGCATACACCTAGATTCCACTTTTCTCTCAATTTAATGGTCCTCACACTATTCATCTTTATCTACTAAGAAGAATGAAAGTAATTCATGGTTAAAATATTTGGAGGATTTGATTACGCCATATTCCCTACTAAATTATTTCTTCCTAGATTGACTTCAAGAAAACATCACTTAATCCTATAAATTGGATTTGTCCTGTAAATTGGATTTGTCCTTTAAATTGGATTTGTCCTTATCATATGACTCTTCGTTGATCAAGTCCACAAACTTGCTCAATATGTCAAGGAAACTTAGTAGCAATTCAGGATGAAAATTCAAAACAAAAGAAGTGAAAGAAGATTGCTGCAGCTAAGGAAGATATAATGGAAAACAAGGTGTTATGAGCTCTTTGTATATGGAATACGCTTGCTGTTACAGTGTGTTCCTAATAATTCTGTGTGCATGATATGTACATATGTTGTTTTTTCTTATCTTTAAATTTTGGTTAAAATATACGTTTAAAAGTACATTATTAATCGAATTAAAATTACCCGAAGTATATAATATCTTAATCTCGAAGACTAGCACTGTCTTAACAGAACAGAGTTGAAAACTGAGTTGAACTCGTCTATATTTACAATTTCTGGTCAGTATTAACAGCTAACAGTGAGTGCTTCCCTATGCAGCTACCTGTTTACCACTAAGCAATCAACAATTCAATGAACAGAAGACGAACTTAGAAAGATGGTCCTAAAAACCATTACCTCTCTGTTCCAAAACTTCTAATGAAGCTTCTTCTCAAAGCTCAGGGTACATTGAATATCAATTTTACACCTCTACCCAACTACAACCAGGAATTTTCTCCAACCCTTTCTGTTTCATGGCTAACCTAATGTTATTGGCATCCTTCCAGGAAGCAAATGTAGAAAAAACATTTGCAGTGAGCACATAGTTAGCTCCCAATTCGGACTCCAGTTTAGACAGAAGATCAGTATCCAAACTAGGAATCCACCCGTGATTCCTGCAAGCCGCCAGAAAACTTCTCAATATAACACCATTCGGCTCCATAGGCATGCCCTTGATAATATCATATGCCTCTTCAATCAAGCCAGATCTTCCTAGCAAGTCAACCATGCATCCATAGTGTTCAACACTCGGTTTTATGCCATACATTCTCACCATCCGATCAAAATACCTTCTTCCCTCACAAACGAGTCCAGCGTGGCTGCAGGCCGAGAGAATCACAGCAAAAGCCAAACTATCTGGTTGCAGTCCCATATCCTCCATATGGTTAAACAAAGAGATAACATCTTTATGTCTCCCATGATCAGCAAGAACGGACATCATGACAGTGAAGGACTGCAAATTCTTGCCATCCATTGAATTGAAAACGACAACGGCCTCATTAATTTTTCCACATTTAGCATACATGTCAAACAAAGCTGTTCCCAATGCAACATCCATGTCCATGTGACTCATTATAAGGTAGGAATGAATGGACTGACCAGCACGGACATCAAGCATTTTAGTACAAGCAGAAAGCAAGCTAACCAATGTGACAGAGTTTGGCTTTTCATTCGTTTGCCCCATCTGATGAAAGACACGAAAAGCATCCAAAGGGGAGTTGGAGGCCACGTAAGCGGCAATCATGGAGCTCCAGGTCACAACATCTTTAACAGTCATTTCTTCAAACACCTTGCGCGCTGACC